TCTGATTCTTCTAGAGTAGAATATAGTGAACATAGCACATTTTTACAATAAAATTACAAATTTGCCTTTGACTGTATTTTTTATAGCTTTCAGAAAGAAATATTTAGGACTGGATTAAAAATAAGTTGTATTCACCATTCTTTTACCCATCCTCTTTTTCATCATAAGAACACCGGCAGCATTTAATTTACTTATTGCGCTCTTTTCACAAATTCAGCTTGTCCTCTTTGACTGAATGAATACCATTCAATAGGATACAACCCTGCAGTAAGCTTTCTCAAAAGCCAATAGAAGAACAGAAAATCCCTAATAAACAATAAAACAAGGAAATGGTTAACAGGTAAGATCCTTCAACTACTACAGATCATTGAGGGGGCAAAAAAAGACATCATAACAAATGCAGCGATTAATTTGGAATCATAGAATCATTAAGGTTGGAAAAGACCGCTAAGATCAACTAGTCCAACTGCTGACCCATCCCCACCATGTCCTCTAAGCCATGTCATTCAGTACCACAAGTACCCTTTTCTTGAAAACTTTCAAAGGATGGTGACTCCACCACTTCCCTGGGAAGCCTCACCACGTTTTATGAGATTTTTTCCTAACATCTAACCTAAATACTTACGATGCTTAGATAATCTAAAATAACAAAATCTTAAAATTGAGGTTAGCAATAAGCTTGTGCTTGAACAGCCATGGATTACCCTTCAGTTCTTCTGTGAGAAAGCACAATTATCCACGGTACTCAATCAGATGTGGGTGGTTTTTAGAACTGTAGTCTCTAATAGATCCCTTCCAGACAGATTGTGCACAGTATATTTTATTGGTGAGGAAACCAAGGTGAGGAACATCAAGACATACCCATGAGGAAAAATCTAAATCCATGACAGAGCAAATAATAAAATTCAGGATCCCTTAAAATTCAGGAGCCTTTAAAATGTTCATTCTCTCAAGACCATAATAAGCAGGTTACCTGTAACCACCCTGGACAAAAGAAAAAAAAAAGAAAGGAAAAAAAACCCAACAAATAAAACTAATAGGTCAGATGGGAATGTTGAATCCATCACTTTCAGTAATTCAGACAGAGCAGGCAAAAACATTGCATGTGTCAACAAAATTGTCTGGAAGAATGGAATTCACTAACTGACATTAAGTACTGAAGCTGTATAGTTAACTGTCTCTTCTTTTGAGCTTTCCAACCACTTATTACCTGAGTTTATCCCCATATTATACAATCCCTTTGCCAAGTTCCTTTTAGGTCCTGATTTGTCACACTAAGAAACTTTACTGAGCGTTATAGTATTTATTATATCTTACTAAAAAAAAACAAATCAAATTTTTCATAACCACCTAAAACACACTTCAAATACCAATTACTGAAATACATCATACAACACAATTCTTCCAGCAAAGTAAATAGAAGTAAATAAAAATCAAGAATATATAACTTCCTGTTCATAATTACAATATTCTTTTTTTTCTGTATTAATTCAACTTCTCAGCACTATAAATGGGTCTCAGCTTCTTCATATGATCCAGCACTATTAAAGGGATTGGAAAATAGAGTAAGCAACAGCCTCACTGTAACAGAATGTGGATTTAGTGGAAAGAACTTCATCTTGCAACCTGCAAATGGTTCAGCTGATGAAAATTAACACAATAGACCTCACAGCATTAAGGCAATGATTCCGCTCGGGATGCTAGAGGCTCAGCCTCACAGGCTTTCAAATAAGACTAACTCTAATACAGGGAACAAGACTCGTCCTGATCTGCTCAAAGAAAAAGAAATACCATAAATGTGCTGTTTTTCCTGTTTGTGGGAAAAAAAAAAAAAAAAAAAAAAAAAAAAAAAGTGAAATGTTTTGTGTTTCAAATATTGTTACAGGGAACAAAACACAAGTTATAACTTTACTACACTACAAAGTATACTAAGTTCCATACAAATACAAGAACTCCACCAAACAGCTGAGGCTTCAATTTTTCTCTACATTCATTAACTAAAAGAGATTGGTTTTGGAATAGGGCAAAAGCACATCAAAGACAGAAAGAGCATAACAGGTCAGGCTAAGAAAAATGCTTTGCTTTCCCCACATACTCCTTTCCCCTTAGGCCACACAGTATCCCCTGGAAAATGACAAGAAAGCTTAAAAAGAGATGAACTGAAAAACCCATAAATGGGTTCTCCAAAATTCAGAGATGAAAAGTACTGTTACACAAAGCAGAACTGAGTAGAAAGCTGCAAATGTATAATTTTTGCCACTAAAGAAAGATGCCCACACAACCCTTTTTTTTTTTTTTTTTTTCCTATCTATAGCAATGCTGAAGCATGCTCTTGACTTATAGGTACTAATAAAACTTTTCAACCTCTCACCAATTGCATATTACAAACTACGCAAAATAAATTAAAATTCAGCTATTACTTTTTCCATAGCATCGACAGTAGTCTGTATCTTTAAACTATCCTATCCTTTCTTGTAGCATGGTAGACAGCTTAAGGTGCCAATTGCATTTAACCAAGAACAGTGAGATAAACTTATGGTAGTTGCTTCCTCATAGAAAGAATTTTGGTGGAGAAAACCATGCCACAATAAGACCAGTAATCCTCACAAGCACACAACCAAAAACTGTCAAGAATCCTTGCTGATCACAACAATAACATGAGAGTCTCAACCTTACCCGCATGTAACCTAGAATACTGCGGATAAAAGTGTTCCTTTCTCAGTTCTCCAGAAATAGAAGAGATGTCTCCGCACTATTTAATGCTTTTACACAGAATCATCACTACTCTGCATCTCTCCAGTTCACATAAACTGGAAACAAGAGCTGAAATCACAGCTCTGCAAGATTCTATCTCATGGGAACCCAGGATTTTGCCTGTAGCATCCCAAAATGCTACTGACCATTAGATATTTAAGCTGTCTTGATAACAGATAGAGTACAACCACATTGTATGAGGCCACAGTAGTATCTTGATATACTTCAACAGCAGAAGGAAACACAACTTTATGGTGATTAGGTCATATTTAATGCTTTGTCATTTGTGGTCAAGTTTTTTTTATTTTATTTGAAGATGATATAATTTTTGTCCTTGTTGTGCTGCACTATCAGTGAAATTTCTGGCTATTTTGATAAGCACAAATAAGCAACAGAGAACAATTATACAGTCTAAACAGTCCTTTCTACAAGATGCCTATTTTCTCAGCTTCTTTAATCTTTAGCAGCCAAGAAAGCTAGAACTAAGAGGACACTGCTACAGAATAACTAACACAATTAAGTGTCTCTTCAAACTTGTCTACGCAGGCCAATGCAGACAAGTCTGCATTTGGAGTAACAGCTAGTGCTGACAGCACCACAGGTGAAAAGCAAAACTACATTCTTCCCCTTTTCATGAGTATCACCTTTGATTTAGTTGGATCATTTGGGATAAATGTTTGACCAAAATTGGGGGAAGATGTATTCATTTCTATAATTAGTATCCTTTCTATGCTTTTTAATTTTTACCTTTTGATCCTTTCTATTAGAAGACTGAATTAATTACATGATCAGAGCTTAGTAAGAGAACAGTCAGTTCTGCTCACTTTTTACCTATTGAGCACAGTTTAAGCTAATGGTTGAGACAACACATGATGTGCTAAGTCATTTATTTGTGATGTCACCACATACCATGAAATTCAAGCAGGTTCTATAGGATGGTTTGGATAAAGGATTTTCTTTTTTTCTCCCCTCATCTCCTACTTTCCCATCTGATATTGCTGACTGGGAAAGACTTGGTATATTCAGCAATGAAGCTGCTGCACAAAGTTGCACAACTGTTCCACCTACATGCTCCTACAAGAGAAACTCTGATTCTAATTAATACACTCCCCTTATGCACTTTATTCTTGGTGTCATGCATACAGCAGGTGATAAATAATAATTTAAGAGTTCTCATCTCGTTATTTAAGCAGCCTCTTGATGTTTTAAAGGAGTTACAAGAATAAAGACATCCTTGAAAATGAGACACAAGTACCCATAAAAGTGTGAGGCTATTTGCAGAGGGAGGAGCCAGAAGGCTCAACACTAACTGCCACTAAAAATAAGGAGGGTATTAAATGCTGCAGCTGTCCCTAAGATGGTTCTAAAAGATAACTGTGAGAAAATTCATGAGGCAAAGAGCACAATATAAATAAATGCAGTGTAAAAATTGCCCAAGCCAGCACTGAAAGCAATCTAAATTACAATCCATTAACAGGGATCACTATCTAGATATATTAGATATGCTTACAAACATGATATTTAGACAAAATATATAAAAATAATTCTTTACACATAAAAGGCAAGCTACTGAGCAAACTTTTGAAACTCATATCTCTCGAGGGTAGTTGGCAAGCTTATAGAAGGGATTAATGAGCACATAAAGAGTTTGCAAACTTCAGAGCCAGAAGTCAATTTTGGAGAGAGGCTGGGAAAAAGTTACCTACTGGAAGATAGTTTCAAAAATATTAATTAAAGTTAACATTAAGTGTTCTTTCTTTTTTTTTTTCCTCTGAAGAACTTGATACTGCTTTTGGAGGATGCTACCCACTTCACAGAAATAACTTCTGCCCTCCAGTAACAATTGTATCCAGGCTCTTCTTCCACAGCAACAGTGTGGCTTGCCATCTTCACAGAAAAAAAAACTCCTTGCTTTAACTATGGAATGAGAATTTGCACAACCATGTGAGAGCAAACCACACCAAAGCAAACCTTTTTTCATGTACATACACATTCGTGGCTTAAAACTCTAGAACTGTTTATGCATTCATGCATAAAACCCTGAAATAGGACAAATACAAGTAATTCACTTTGCAAGGCAAGAGATTGTCTATCACTCCTGGTTTACTAAGAAAGAGGTTGCATTATTGTCATGTTACAGAGCAATTCATGCACCACATGTTCAGTATTCCATTTTGTAGTCCATCACAATTGAAATATAGATTTTAACAAAAAAAAATTATAAGCATAGAACAGCTGTCACTTACTTGGCTTAGAGTTCACAATAACATTTTCAGCAGAGTGCTGGGGTGGAAACCTGCAGTTCTCTCCTTGGCCCTCACTGCTCCCATACTCTATAACTTCCACTTGTCCCAATGGTACGCTCCATTTTAATAAATACCTCTGGCCAGTTGTCACAGTGCCGCTGCTTTCATAGGAAGTGCTGGAAGATACATAAATCGTTCAGTGTCAAGTCACTGTGTTTTATAGCATCCTATTTGTTAACTTTTAAATCTGCCGTTTATCAGCCTGAGTTCTGTGCACAACTTTAAATAAATACACGCTTCAGGATAACTTCTGTGACTAACTTCTGATGTGAGTGCAAAGATCAGCTGTGCAGGTGCAAATAAACTTATTTACAGGCAACACAGGACTACCACAAACAGATCCTCCATTCTGTTACTTCTGTAACAAAATATCAATTACCATTTTTAAGATCAACATGCACTTGAACACCTTAAGTGCTTGGACAATACTGTCATTCTACCTCTTCCTGATTCTTCTGTTTTTCAGGACAATACCCGCAGCAGAGCCAAAAAGTAGTAAGTGCTGCATATAAAAGTCTGGATGGTGGGACCTTCAAGTGACCACTGGGAGGAGGCAGGTCAAGGCAATCTCCCAAAGGCTGCCCAGCCAACATTTCAGCTGAGCCCTACAGGCCAGGATGTTGCTGTGGTTTCTGAGAGCCGTCTACATGGGAGCTGCTGTTAACAGAAGTGTATATCACAACAGGCATTTCAGAGGAAACAGCATGCTTGGGAAGTTCACTAGAAATAGAAATGGTATTACTGCTATTTCTCATTTGTTTCTTTCATTCTTTTCATTCCTTTATTCACACACTCAATCACGCGTAGCAAACATCTACTATCAAGTACAAAAGAGGCTAAAGGAAACAAAAATTTTGGCTGAGATGGCTAAAATCTACAAGTTAAAAGCTTGGCAGAAATCAGCTTAGTGTATTTACTTGGAACAGTATCTGAATCCCAAGGTTCAGCTAGTCAGCTACCTGTTCACAACACAGTCATGCTTTTGTTTCGTTGAAGAGGCACATATGAACAGAAAAAAAATCAAGTGCCAGAAATTAAACAAATATTTACGAACTCCAGATCTAGTTCATAAGAAAGAAAAGAACAGCAGCACACAGCTGTTTAGCTGCTAGTAATAGTATCCATCTCGTCCAACTCCTGCTTCTTAAAAGTTAGGTATCCAGTTCAAGCCAGTTATCTAGATTACATACGAAGAAGGTCCTACAGAGGGTCATGAACTCTGTGTAAATATGTCTCTTGCCAGCTATAGTTTGGAACCAATGGTCCCCAGGCTCCTGGGATATCTGGACTGACTATTTCTGTACAGACTGGCAAAAAGTGGTCAAGAAAATTGAGCTGATTCCACCAGCATGTGTAAAGTTTCTGAAGAAGCCTAAATCTCCAGGGGTGGATCTGTAGGCATGCACACATCAGGGAGTTTGAAAATGACTGATGCTTCACAAAATCAAAAGGTACATTCAAAAACGTGCTTTTCTTTGGACCAAAAATTCTGGACTGGATACCGGTGTAATACATGAAATTTGGTAGACATCTCCTTCAGTCCCTAAAATGCTCGTGCATTTTCTGAAGCACAATCATTAGAAGGTACTTGCTCACTGACATAAGACCAAGCATTCACAGAAATGTAAAAATATGTACTGCATTCACACTTCACTAATGAACTAAGATATCAACTCATATTATCCTTAAGAAAAACTTAAGGTTCAGTCTGCAATTTCTCTGTCAGAATTTACCAACACGTAAAGCTTTTTACAATACAAGCAAGACTGGAATGTGAGTATGACCTTGGCTGCACAGTGGTATAGTAACAGTAATAGCTACTGCCAACTAAAACAGAAGGCATGATGGAAAAATGCCTTCTTCAAAGTACCTCAGCTTTCAACCTTCAATGTTTGGCCTCAGAGATAAAAACCTTTCCTCAGCTGGAATTTCTTTAGCAAGTTCCAGTTTTTTTTTTTTCTGGCTACATGCATTAGCTTTGGTTCTTGTTTTGTTTTAATTTGGAATTTCTGTCAAGTTACAGATGTGCGACAGTGTGAATTTAAGGAGTAAGAGAGAGAAAAAAAAAAAAATCCTGCTTCAGCATGCCTCCACTCCACTAAACACTAATGCACGAGTGATTATCAGCATAGAACATCTTTACTTGTAATTTCCAACTTATTTTATATAGATAGATAGATAGATATGAAACCTAGCTGTCTATTCATTATGACAAGTAAGAGAAATCATCAGCCATAGCAAAAACAAAAAAGCTTTTTCACTGTCATTTTTTTCCAGCTTAAGCTTTGGTGGCCATTTAAAACATTGGAAAGAAGTCTTACCGTACGTTGACAGTTGCGCACATCAGCACATCGTTTAACATGAAAAGTCGTCGCTCTTTGGTTTTGACAATTTCTCCTTTGTCATTGTAAACTGTTTCCACCATATCATCAGTCCGGACGAGGTACCTGTTTCCACTGCTGAGTAGCTAGGTTTTAAAAACAATCAATTTTCCATGTTATACAGAATACTTAACATCCAGAGCAAAAAAGATAAAAGAAAATACAACCATTTGCCATAGTAATATAAATGCTCCCAGGTGGGTTTGCCAAATAAATTATGCTTTTTTACTGATTTGATTTTCGTTTACAGATAAGTTTACAGCAGCAGTGACATATGCCCCCAGAAGTATGGCCTGCAGGGGTCTGCAGTCTTTATAAGGAACATGCAATTCCCTCTGAAAGTCTTCCATACTGGTAAAGGAGTCTAGTGAGAAAAAAATCATAGCTTCTGCAGCTCCTGTTGTTTCCCTCCCTCATTTCTTCTTTCACAGTGCATTTAAATGCTATGCACGGTTCCAGGCATCCCAAAGGGACATTTCCCACAGGAGTGAGTGGATAAAGAGTGCTTTTACCTTCTCTGTCTCCACTGGCTCTCAAAGTCAGCTAAGGAGTGCAGCTGACATATTTCCACAGACTGCCAAGACTATGACATGTACAAAAGATGCACGACAGGTGAATTGTTCCTGCAATTTTCTTTCAAGCTCTAAGGCTCAACAATGTGTGCAAGAATGAACCAGTTCCTCACAGGTCAAAGACATCTCTGCAGCAGCCAAGAGAATGAAATGGCCTGTAACTCACTCGCCTCCTATCTATCCACATCCTTTCCTGCTTGTTTCACCATCTGGCACTATTCCAAATTTGTATAAGCAAATACTAGGTCACAAGACATATCTCAGTGTCCTCTCGGTACAGAATTTAACACTGTACAGTTAAGATCATTGGATAAAAGAAATCTGGCCACATCTTAAAGGGCATATTCTTTAAATCCTTTAAATCCTTCAATCACTTGTACATGATAATTAGTAGCTAATTCAAAAAGCAGGAGTGTAAAGATCTAGAAAAGAAAGTAAAATCACAAAATCCATCCTGCAACACACATAGAATGGAAATATGCTTCCAATATGATAATAAATTCAGTCTCTCATTTTTGATAAATAGGTTAAGACAAGCATATTCCAGTTGACTGCTTTCTCTCCTTAAAAATACAAGACTATGAATCACAAACAGAAATACTCCTTGCACAGTTTTAGCACATCCTCATTATTCCAACCCAGAGTAAGTCCACAGCACAATTATCTTAACTTCATTAAAGCAATAATTAGAGCAATAGGAAAGACAGAAGCAGTTACAGTGCAAATAAGCACACATGTTTTCACAACACAGATATCCACTAACAATCTCAAAGAAAACTGTTCCTCCCCTCCCACCAAATACCTTCTATGGTTCTTTAAAGATTATTCTATTGTATGATCCAGGTGTGTGAATGAAACAGACTGCGACGTTCCTTAAAACAAGGAAGATAATGAACATGTTCCATAGCACACCCAGAACTGCTCCACTGTTGGAAGCACTGCTGTATGAGGAACTGGCTCCTTCTTTTATACAGGAGTAACTCCGTAGTTCTAGGATAAATTCAAAGTTGAATTTTCTCATGCAGGAGATCTGCATGAAAACTTACTACAGAAACAAGAAACTTTATTATCCTATATTGCTGTTATTTCAGCATCTATCCTCTCCTCCCCTTCTGCCCTCCCCCCCCTAAGCACACAATGATTAGAACCAGCAGATCCATTCAGTCCTGTAGATTACCTACATCTCACATCTACCACTAGAACCCCACAGTATTAAGCACCACAAAAAAGCCCACAGGCATCCTTTCAGCGTCCATTCTAAAGATTATTCAAGGCCAGAAACTAACAACAACATTAAGTCTTTCACCACACATTTCAAATACATTTCCTAACCTTGTTCAGGTAACGTTCGTTCATTGCTTTTGCTATTTGTTTTATTTCACAGCGCTGATCTGCATCCCTTTTTCTTTCATTCAGCTTTTCTGCTAGTGTTTCAAGTTCTGTAAGAGCCATCTGCAGGGGTAATCTGTCAGGATGTCCTTTATTTGTGTTCTTCAACATATCCTGAGGAGTAATGATTAAACAAACAGACAAACAAAACAAGTCCAACTTCAAACTCAAGTCTGAAAGGCTAAAGGATGTCCAATGGAATTCTATGTTAACGCCACATTCTTTAAAGAATAAAACCAATAAATATCTAATGAATATTCAGACAGTGCTTTAGCTATTTTCCAAAATATCTTAATAGTTTCTAAAAGATACTGAATGGAGTTGCATACAGCTTATTTATAGAGAAAGTAGAGAGAAGTAACCTGAAAATAAATGTAAAAACATCAAATGCAAAAGTAAGCAAATAAACACAAGTTGCACGTAATATTTAGTAATTTGAAAATCAGTATTAAAATAAGCAGGTGTATAAGCAATTATTTAAAATTAAACTTTTCTGATACTTTCTACTATAATATTTTTACAAATTATATAATGTATATTATTATAAATATCTATAATATCTGTGCTATATTCCCTTTATTACTGTCATTATTCCTCACTAGTATGTTGACAAGCTTGCTCATCCCAAAGTAGCAGACCACACTTTTTCCACGAAAGTCACAACAGCTTCTAAAGAATCCTTCCCTTCTGTAGGCATACATTGGAGCAATGCTCCTTTCACACAGCACTTAAAAGTCACCATGTATTCACTACAACTTCCTACTATTGTAAACTTCATCTCTTCTGCTACCTTAAAAACATTTGCCACGGCTACCTAACTTCATGCTCCCACTACAACTACCTCTGAATCTCACCAGTAATTCCTGGACCTTCATCCCAAAGCCTGCCCTGTGTGACACTGCAAACTTCGCACTCATTGTGTAAACCTGTCATGGGCTGGAAGATTACTAAGCTGATCTGAAGCAAGAAATTCTGTCTGGCATTTTGCTTAAGCAAAAAGTAATACCACACCATTGCTACTAGTATTTTAAACTGCTATGAACAAGTAGCACTTTCCAATTACAGCTTTCATGTGAAGGGACTTACAAGCTACATCTAGCTTAATAAGCCTAGCAGCCTAGAGTATATCAAATTTACTGAGATTTTCCTGCAGTATGTGCAATCAGACAAAGAGATCAGTACATTATGGTGCACTGAAGTTCGCTTCCCTGTTTTCCTCATGACCCAATGGTAACTCCTACTGCAGCATGCTCCTCTCCAGCAGAAGACAGCTACCCAGAAAGCCCACAGGCAAGCCACATGAGAACACAATGAGAACATTCTTTGGTAAATCTATTTGGTAAATATTCTTTACCTGCAATAGCAGAATGAACTGTGGGAAGCGCTGGATAGGTTTCATCATTAAACCATACAGTGTAATCCGATCAGGGCTTGACTCCTGGCACTGCTGCAATGCAAGAACGTCACACTGTTTACTTCTGTATTTCCATCAGGCACAGAATGAAAGGAAAATGTTCTGAAAGTTCTTCAACATAATTACCATTCATTACAGCAGTACTTCAAATATTCTCATTTTCATTTAAAAAAAATATTAAAAAAAAAAAAATCATTATTAAAATGACGGCATGGTCACTCAACTGAGATCTACTCCCCAAAAAAGTACAGCTGGGATGGAGCCCCATCAGCAAGGCAGCACATATATATATACACTGTCAGAGCACCTTCATGCTTCTCACATAACCAGCACCATGAAATGTCTGCTTAACATCAAGGACAATAAAGCGAATGTACTTGTTCAGGGTCTTAAATCTAAAATTCCTAAGTGATTTGTTGATTTATAGTCTAATTTACTGCTGTTGGACTGTTTCTTGGGACTGAGACCAGAGAGGTGTAACAACCAACGTGTTTTTTAAGAGAAAATCGAAAGAAAATATAATCACCTCAGTACTACAGAAACAAAAAGAGACTTTCATTTTCTTCATTAAAAGAATCTAAGGAAAAGAGCATCGATTTCAATTTGGAAAGAAATATATAAGAATTTGTCATTTCAGTTATCAGGACTACTAGATAAAAACAAACAAAAAAAATCATTTACATACGCAGAAGCCCTGTATGTATAACTCACTCCAACATTTGGAAATATTCTGATTAGAATCACAGATGATTCTAATCCAACCCAAGAAGAGTAGAAGAACCATTACAGTACAAAAACCAAATAACATTAAATGGGTATAATGCTCCAGTTCCTATTTATTTTCTATTTTTATTATCAGCCTCACAGCAATTCGTTTTTCCCTATTTATTTCCAAGGCACATACATGTTTTTATTTTTTTGTCCAGCCAGCAGCAGAGAAGATTCTGGCTCACAGCCTGTTAGCTGTAGGTGGGCAGAAGTAAAAGAAGAAAGTATAGAAATTTATTGTGTTCTCAGAGTTCAGCTGTGAGACCAGCTCTGAGTACTATCAATGCTGGTACTGACAAGGAGTGACACGAGGTAGTTACGCCACTGCTGGAACTGATAGCCTAAAAGCCTTGCAGTGGATTCTGCCTATCCTCCATAGGGTATCATCCCCAAGACTTCCCAGCAGTTCTGTTGCATGTGGCAGGCTTTCAATAAACATTACTGGAAGCATCAGGGTAATAAGCTTTCTGTACAAATACTTTCAATTTCACCCCAGCAGATTGCAAAAAAAATAAAAAATAAATTCAAAATAATAGGAATTTAATCTGGAACATAAGTATAGTTGTATGACTCTGCACAACGCAATAAGGAGGTCAGACATAAAATAAATCCCAAATAAGAGGATTCAAATGGTGAACTATTCTTTGAAGGTCACCTGGCATGAAAGAATTCCAGTCTTTTCTCAAGTATAGTCATACAAACACCAGCCAGAAAACTGAACAAAAACAAAAACACTCTGCTCTTCAACATACATGCAAGATCTAAAATCACGTTATCACCCTGAAAATACAGTAGTGAAATAATAACTCACCTTCAAGAAATCTAGAAAGGCAGGTTTGGTGGCACATGTTTTCTTCAGAATCCCCACAGCTGTACTGAAGTTGTTTACGTATTCACTGTACGCATCCAATACCATCGACTTCGAAAACTAAAGACAAAAGCAGGTAAAACTTATGTATAAGCCCAAAAGACATCTGAAAGCATTATTATTTAGAGCCCTGACAGATTAAGGACTCATTTTGTTAGGTGCTGAAGGCTTTCACTTGGTTTAGTGCTGCATCTACAGAAATACTGATGATGCCTAAAATAACTTTTCCACAAAACACAGGCTGGAGATCTAACGATGTAGCAGCTGTGAATTACAAAAATGTAAATTTACAGAAATAGCATCATCTTGGCTACAATAGTAGGGCACGAGGACTGAGTAATCAAGAGGCCTCCAAGTGAGAGCCAAAGCAGCTGGTGGGATCCCATGATCAACATGCACTGCAGCCTACCTTCCAGATTTGATGAACAAGTGAAGTCCCAGTCATATTAATGTCCCATCTTCAGCTGGCATTTATCAAGAAAGCAGATGTTGCAGCTTGCAAACTGCCACATGAAGGGAAAGATCACTGCCTATTGCTTACTTAGTAAAGATTATCCCTCTCTTTTGCAGAGCTGGTCTAATTAATACGTCCCAACTTGCTCCAGTCAAAACAAGACAGATCAGGTTTAAAAAGAAAATCTTTAGTAAACATTCCCTTTTTATTAAAGTGGGGTCAAAGCACTCAAAAACACAGATCCCAGCTCTCTTTTGGATGAAAGGAAAAAGCTGTAATACCCAGAAGCTGGGAGGCAACAAAGCAAAATACTCAAATCAGCAAGGTAGGTAGCCTTTTCAATCACACACTTACAGAAATAAAATCTACCAATTGAGAGAACATTTTGTTTCCTCTAATTCAAACAGTCCTCCACTGGATGGACTTCCATTAAGTGGTGTTTTGTAAATATTCTTCGTCAGTGCTCCAGGCTCAGTTCAGACTGAGTAATTCAGCACGTTACCTAATGTGATTTTTATTTCTTCTTTGTTTTCTCAACAAATATTTTAAGTCCAATGTACGTAGGTGTTTTTTAAGAGATAAAGAGTTTCAATCTCACTAATTTTGGTTGGTTTTTGAATCACTCTACTCTGAAAAAGAAACTATTTAGTTAAGCATCTCAAAGCTTCATCAAAGCCTGAAAATTTTAGCCACAATCTTCTCATCTGCTAAGCTAGCTGAAGACACATGCTCCTTACCAGAACGGTACATACACATTCTGACAGTTGCCGCAGGCACTGAAGACCATGGGAATAAAATGGTCAAATTAGACAGAAAGATACGATTGAATAACAATTCTAAACCAAAAATAGATTATCTGTTCAGATGTATTTGCTTACTGAAGCAACAAAGACATCGCCAATCATTTCAACAGAATCCCACTCAGACACACGACTCGCCAGGGCTATTTGAAACATTGAATGGCATTGAAGAATTTCTTTAATTCTATAGAAGACCATTTTGAGTTTTCTTTCACTCAGTAATTTTGGTTCCATTTCTGAAAGGGGCTTCTCATATTGCTGTGGGAAAAAAAAGACATAGATTAAAACCACCTAAAAATGGGGTCTCCTATACACAGAAGAAACAATAACAATTTATGTAACAGTATATACAAATAAAATCTCTCGAAACATTTGGCATAAAGAATCTGTAGGAAAGCCTGAAAGTCACACTACAGATTCATTAAGGATTAATTTCAAATTTCAATTATTTCAGTTATTCAATTAATTTTCATATCTCAAATCATAAAATGCCAAAGTTAACAACGTACCTCCAAGATTCTTTTCAGAGCATCCACATAATTCTTTTCACTATCAACTACAGAGCCCAAAATATATCTTCTCACAACCTGTTGAGGAAAAACAGCTTTCTCAGGTAAACGTATTCATTGTAGCAAGGAATATTCACGATCAAATTTTCACATTAATAACAACCAAAAAAACACAAAGCAATTCTGGCACTGCCATAAAATAAACTACTTCTAGTTTACTCTACTTCTTCAAGAGTCATTAAATTTATCATTACTCTAAAATTATTATTAGGACAATAACAGTTACTGCAAGCCTATGTAGTCTTTGTTTACTGTTCAAATTCCAAACTTTAGTTCTAATACAATTTAATTGTAGATATATGAATTTAGATATAGACAACAACAGCTACAGAAGATATTGGCTATTTCAGTAAATAACCACAATAAAACAAGTTAATGGTGTTCAAAATCAGTCTTCAAGCAGAAGTCCTTCTTTCTACTTGCTTCTATTTTTTTTTTTTTTTTAAATATTACATAACCTTTATAGGACTGATCTGTGGGACAAATAAGCAAAAATTAATCGCTTTTTTAAGGCAAGGCCAAAGTAAAGTAAAGTAAAGTATCTAAGTCAGGATTTGGGCTCAAGGGGTAGAAGGTGGCAATATTACCATGCTGTCATGGTTTTACGATTTTTCTTATAGGTATCCCATATCACAACATCATGTAGAGCATTGAGAGTTCAAGAGTTAAATGCTCCAGTTCTGTGGATTGCCAATTTTCTGGGTACCTGGTTCTCAGAAGAGAAGAACAACTACATACCCCAGAGGATTTTGCATTTCCATTTTCCATTCAGAAGGAAAGATAAAACTGCCCACAAGCCATGAGACTGCTCTTTTTTGCTGCTCGTCTTGGCTGTGCTTGCTCCCTAGCCATCTTGCCTTCAGCTTTACAGTAAGGCCTTTGGTTTGGGACACGCTCTCTCTCATCTATTTGGTTTATTAGCTTCAATCCCAATTAACTTGTATTTCTGTTATCATAATTAGTAAGCTAACTTTCCTTCTCAGATCATTGCCACTGTTTTGTTTTTTTTTTCCCCTATTTATTATTATTCATTTCCCTCTTTGTTCCCCCCTCCACCCCACTTCCCAGCTTTTCGGGCCAGTGTGCCTGTGGGCCTGCTGTCCAGTCCTCATCATGAACACAGGCAGATCTAGAGACAAGTGAAAACCTTATCTATATTCATACCAACTGGCACAATGAGATGAGTTTCAGGAAATACTATCGCATTTTATGTTTACATTTTATGTTTACAGAGTGTAGGCTACTCATCAGATATCCTCCTTCACTCCCCCAGCTGAAATGCATATTGCATACATAGAAGGATGGAGAAATTAATCTGATTCAAAAGTAAAACTTTTAACTGATACGCATTATATTTCTTATTATTTTTAAGGATTTATTTTCACCTAAAAGAAGTTTCTAATCCAACTCATCTCGAGGCTTTCAAAAGTGGTGTTCTGTTTGAGGGAGAAAGCAATACGAGGGCAGAAATACAACATTTCCCACAAGCACAAGACAAAGCAAAATTGCTTCTTTTCCTGTTCTAAACTAGCATAAGTTACCATGAAACTCAAATCTCAGATTTGCTTCTCTTCTCTGTGGCCTCCTGCTTTATTCTCTGCAGCTGCCTTTAATTCTCCACACTTGTATTTCATATTATTAAGTTATATGCAGGTCATGTAAGGATTTACTTTCAAGTGCTGGCATTTCAAAAGAAGATTTTAAAATTATGCTAGACCTTGCTTAAAGATAAATATAGTAAAATTCATTGTGTCTAATTTGTATTTAGACTGGATTTAACAGTTTCTTATTGGGTGCAACATATTGGCTGCACCAGTAGGAGATAGTATCTCCACTTTTTGTCGCACTTCGTTCTTCTGGAAAGAATCAGTATGTTTGCAAAATGTTTTTCAGCATCTACAGTACACAAATTAAATATTTTAAAGTGCCTACAAGCATTTAATTTTCATAGCTTACAAGAGGCCTACATGCAAGCATTAGCACTTCTGCTAGTTAAAGTATCATATAGACATAAACAGTGAACAACAAGATTTCATGTCACAGTCTTAAAATGATGCAAAAGCTGACATGAGAGTCACAGAAAGCAGAATGTAGTAGCCCAACAGGAGCCTGATTTAAAAAAAAGCTATCCTGCCACCTACTGTTTAAAGAAAGCACATTCATAAAGTCAGCTTATTCATCACAGAGTAATTCAGGTTGCAAGGGGCTTCTGGAGTTCACCCAGTACAACTGGGACACCAAGGGCTGCCACATAGTCTACTGTATTCCAGACTGCGTCACACACAGGGTTATGCTGTCCCTAAATCAGGAGTCCTGTTGGAATCTGCTGAAACACCTGGATTTTCTGTCAGACCAGCTCTTCAGCTCAAAGTCAGCTTGAATGGCAGCCTTACTTCCCAGCATATTACCTGCAGCTTATCCCACTTCAGTGCTGTCTACAAACATGCTGAGAAGTGCCTTGCAGCTGGTATCCAGATTGTTAATGACATTAAACAGCACTGGCTCTGCATCAGCTCCCAGAGGACACTACTAACACTGGCCACCTACTGGACTTCATACCACTGATGAGTGTGATGTCTAATTTTTTCCAAGGCACTGATGATAAAGGCTTTCCTTTCAGTATCACTAAATACATGTCACCTAGTTTTAAGGACATGCATAATTCCAACTGGGCACAGCACCAGAATCCCTTAGCTGCATCCTCTTCCACTGCAGGTAATAATTCACAGGACCTGTCTGTAGGTTTGGAGGCTCTCAAAGTCTGAGGACAATCCTTAATTAGTAAAAGCTGAGCCAAAATTGGCACTGACTTTCTCAGTCTTCTCAGTGTCCTTTGTCAGACCTTATTTTTCTTAACTTTCCTTTTTCTTACATGTACATCTATATATATCTATATATATATATACGGGGAGGAATAATTGCATGCACCGGTACAGGTTGGGGGATGACCTGCTGGAGGGGAGCTCTGCGGAAAGGGACCTGGGTGTCCTGGTGAACAACAGGTTGGCCATGAGCCAGCAGTGTGCCCTTGTGGCCAAGAGGGCCAATGGCATCCTGGGATGCATTAAAAAGAGCGTGGCCAGCAGGTCGAGGGAGGTGATCCTTCCCCTCTACTCTGCCCTGGTAAGACCTCATCTGGAGTACTGCGTCCAGTTCTGGGCTCCCTAGTACAAAAAAGACAGGGATCTCTTGGAAAGAGTCCAGCAGAGGGCCACAAAGATGGTGCAGGGCCTGGAGCATCTCTCCTATGAGGAAAGGCTGAGTGAACTGGGTCTGTTCAGCCTCGATAAGAGAAGACCGAGAGGGGACCTGATCCAGGTCTATAAATATCTGAGGTGTGGGGGGCAGAATGGTGAGGCTGGACTCTTCAGTGGTGAAAGGTGACAGGACAAGGGGAAACGGCCAGAAACTGCAGCATAGGAAGTTCCGCACAAACATGCGCAAGAACTTCTTTACAGTGAGGGTGACGGAGCGCTGGAACAGGCTGCCCAGGGAGGTGGTGGAGTCTCCTTCTCTGGAGATGTTCAAGACTGCCTGGATGCCTACCTGTGTGACCTGCTGTAGGGAACCTGCTTTGGCAGGGGGGCTGGACTCGATGATCTCTGGAGGTCCCTTCCAACCCCTACAATTCTGTGATTCTGTGATATACCTATAGAGATACAGAGATAAGGAACCTTTCTTTTCTTCCATCACACTTCACTAGCTTCAGCTGAGCTCTGGCTTTCCTAACTCCATCCCTGCTCAGTTGGGTTGCTCCTCCTGGATAGATAACCAAGAATAGTAGTTTATTTCAAACTAAGAGCTCTCTCTCTCTTTTCTGAAGAGGATATATTTATTTAAAATTTGCCAAGTTTTAACATTTCATTTAAACATTTATTTTAATATTTTATGAAACTTGATAAGTAGAGAAAAAAAAAGCCCATACAACTCTTTTCAACCTCTCCTTAATTCGTTTTCAAGAAATACCATTAGATTTGCTGCACACTTTCTGAAGGTACTGACCAACTCAGGACTTCACACCACAAAACACTAAAAGCTCACATCCAGCTATTATTACTTACCATAGCAAAACAGTAACATGAACTCACAGGATTTATTTTCAGTCAAAAATTCAAACTGATGCTGATAGTTTCCAGCATTAATATAGACCGTGAGGGGATGACACTTCTCTAGACTCAACTTCATCTTTTTTTAAATCACAAGAAAACTTTAGATTCAGAGAGTATGCAGAATATTCTCCATATTTAAAACAGAAATCTTGGAGTTCAGAAATTCCAAAAGCCTGCTACCTGCTGTTGTGATAATCCTTCAGGCATAGGGGTCATAATCGCTTCTGTATGCACACAGTCCACATCAATAAATAAATTTAGCTCCTCTTCTTCCAGGCATGATGATCTGTGATCTAAAAATAATTGAATAACCAAAACATCAACTTTTAGAATGTATAAACTAAAAAAAAAAAGGGAACTAGACAAAGATTCAACTGTCCAAGAACAGTATTTACAGAGTAGACTTAACTTACTATGCAAATGGAATTTCTCAGCATTTCTATAGCATCTGTGAAGCACACTAACACAGAGCAACTTACAAAAGACAGTTCAATGTCCTAAAACAGAAGCAGATAACCCATGCATCTACTGCTTGACCTTTCTTCCCTCTTCACAGATACAAGCACAGGGCTGTCCAGTGTGACAACTAGGACTAAAGCTGTAGGGTCAAAGGCCTGTAGTTTTGAAATAAATCATTTTTGGAAAGAAATTAAACACGTTCATAATGTAATTCAGTGCAAGAAATTCCATATAGCTGTTCATAAACTGAATTAAAATCAGTAGCCAAACGTATCAAAATGGCACTTGCAAGAAGAAAGGATTCCACATTGCTCCCTACTTATTTCTCAGAGCCACTAATTTTACGCAAGAAGCATAACAGAAGTGTGGAGGTAGGTGGCAGCACACAGCCAGTCAAACAGCCAGACACCAACAGAGGAGAAAGAAGGGACTGTGAGAGAAACTGCAGCTGATAACAAAAAGGGAATTAAGGGAAGCAGTTCTGTTGGCTACTGGAACTTATGAGCTCAATCAACAAATTTATCACACGCTCCCTGTTGATTTGGTAAATGGCCTAAAGTATTAAACCATCCACAGATATCCTACATCTGCTACCTAACCTCATGATAAATAAAGCAGAAAGCTGGGTCCATTGTAACATTGCTGTGCTGATGAAGGTCATTTCCTCCTTGCAACAGAAAGAAGGTGAGAATACATTTTTTACCACTACAACTGCAATCCACTTTCTTTCCTGTGGTTGTGAATCCCCTAAATTTAGCCCATGACAGGAATGTGATATGTGCACTAGCCCTTACAGTTACATACAACACAGCTTTAAGTTAGCTTACTTGCTAAAAACCATCCTACGCCAATCTTGTGGTTTTACCTTCTTAAAACTATAGTTCTAAAAGCTCTGAAGTTACAACCACTTAATAAGCTGAGCAGAAACCTAAGCAGAAGAACAGGCTACCACTCAGTTTTACCATGGAGAAGAAAGAAGTTTCAGTTTTCTTACTACTCCCTGTCCCATGAAAAAAATAACTGTGGACTGTGGTCTCTGTGGGTCATATCAGAGGACTGATGCTTGTCTGAATTTAGAACTCCTGCTTTGACAGCTCCTAATTCAAGACCCTCCCCCCATACTTTTTTTTTTTTTTTTAAACTAAAATCACTGAAGTGTGATAAAGCTTCCACTATCAGGCAGAGTTATTCAAGGGAGGGAAGTAGACAAACTGAATACCCTAATCAAATTTCTATAATCCCCATATACCAATTTCTAGCTAGCATCTATTACACTCATATTTTTTTAAGTGGACTCTTCTGTCTTGCTTTCAGATTCAGAGGTCACTGCACCCTAAATCCAAAACTACTCAAGATGCAGTGACTGTACAGTGATCTGAACTGAATGCTAAACTATTATTAGCTGACATAGAACTGACTTGACATTCTGATCTAGTAAGCGGTGTTCCTGCCAATGGCAGGGGGTTGGAACTAGGTGATCTCTAAGGTCCTTCCAACCCAAATCATTCTATGATTCTATAATTCTGTGCATCCAGTACTTGGTTCCTAGTACAAGTAAAAATCCTACTCAGCTATTCACACCCTTTCTCAGAAATAACTAGAAGAAACATTAACAGAGTAAATTAACAGGCACATACCTTGAGAAATAAAAGACTTAGTTCTAATGAAAGAACGACCCTTCTTCACAGCTGCTTTTGTCTTTTCAAGTCCATCTTTGGTACCTTCTCTAGCAGCTCTCATGAGCTTTTGCATCTGTAAGATAAAAAATACAGTCTACATGTTCAGTGAATAATGGGAATCCGCTTCTGCATACCATGCAGAGTACTTTTAACATCTTTTTAAAAATACTGTCAAGTGGGGGCTATAAATATAGCCCAAAGTCAAATAAATATACTGGAAGTACACACAGCCATCAAACTGCAAATGTGAACATCCGTACTTCTTCCTAATAAAATCAAACTTGAACAAAGGGTCTTACTTTATGACAACCTTCCATGTAAGTTCAAAATGGTTTAAGAACCCTTCTGCTTCAAAATATCTGACATCACAATAAACTCAATAGCTCAGCATTCTATTATATAACAAATAAATACTAAGAAAGGTCATACATGGCAAGGCTTCTCATTCATCTGCCACTAGCTCTACCAGAATATTTCCAACTTAAAGATTCAATTTTGTATTGACTACATTCTTAAATAACCACTGTGTCTTGCAGAAAAATGTTAAAAACAATAATTTCGTTAATTCAAGAAATCAGTATACTGGTTTAATTAAGTAGAATTTTATAATACACTTCAACAACATGGAAGTTCCTTGGAGGAAAAAAAAAATAAAAATAAAAAAAAGAGATGTTTCACTAGGAAACTAAACTGGTTTGTACTCTTCCTTTCCCAGCGGCCGCCAAACCACCACTGCCAGAACTGTGCTGACATCATCAGCTACATTAGAATACAAATAAAGCTGTCTTGCTGCAATCAGGCAGGTTTTTTTCTGCCTGAGATAAAGTTTTTAGCATTAAAATCTCCATAAAAATAGCCTTTGTATGCTCATTCCATTCAGAAATGGATAGCAGCAACATTCTTAGTCCTACAATTTTTATGCAACACAGACAAAAAGCCAGGGTCAGACGTGCCCTGTGGAGCTCACTGGGGTTGTACTCCTAGCTCAGACTCTGGGGTAAAGGCAGGACAATGTCCTATCTGATCTGCTGAAATGGCTACGATTGATAAATAAGCATGAGAAAAAGTTACAGACAAAATATTTTCAAGACAAACTGCTGCTACATTTAGAACTCATTTTAAACAAACTATTGTCCATTTTTTTCAAGCTATTATTAAAAGAAAAAGACAACACGGCCTGCGTTGGAAAAGCAATAATTTAAACATAGCTAATTACAGAAATTAACTACGCTACCTTCAGCTCATGTTTTTGCTTTAGTTGCTGAATCTCTACTGCTCCCACAGTGTTTGCCATCAAATCTTTCATCTTTTTCTCATAATGCTCCTTTAAACGCGTAAGGTCATGAGAAAGCTACAGTACACAAAAAGACACAATCTTTTCAAACAGCCCGTAGCGCAAACTTCATGCTAAAGTACTCAAGCATATCATGCATGTTGTCCAGTCTGCCTACTGAAACACAGACAACTGAAGGAGAGAATATTCACACAGGGAAGCTCCAGCCCGGCGAATGGACCGTTACCCCTGCAGTTCACTGGACTTGCCGAAAGTCAGCCAGGTACTTTTGCACTATGCTGGCAACTATGTAAAGAGAGAGATAAAGTCACTTAGTCTAAGCTAACTGCATATTAACCGTATTATGTACATTTCTTACAAACCATTTGGAAACACATCAGTTTTAACACGAGCATCATTCAGCGGAGTGCAAAGCCTACCCAGTGCATTTCTGACTCTCCTTCAAAATGGTGAATCAGATGAGTTCTCAAAAATTGATGAAGCTGCAGAAGTTGCTGACACCTGAGAAGACGGAGATCTACAATACTAATGAGTTGGGAAAGGAGAATCTAATAGGGGAGGACACAGAGACTTGTTCCCAGTGTGTGGGAACTGGGAAGCATGCGTCTTTCCTCTGCTCTATCACAGCCTCATTGCATGACCACATAACCACCTCATGCACAAATATATTCATTTGCAAGGTAAGTTATCATGGAGAAATGCCCTGGAGTACCAATTAATCACCGCTAAACATTTTGAGGAAGCCAAATGAAAGCAGCCAATATTTCAATAGGGAAAAAAATAGATATTTGGTGTGCCTTATAATAGAAAAGAAGCCCAATGGAAAAACCCTCTGCTTGATGCCAACAGAGTTATTTGGCAAATGATCAAAAGCATCAGGAAAGAGAAGGCTTACTGAGCTGAAAACAAAGGGGCAGGTCCCACACTGAGCTCTACTAGGATGGGTTAGGATGCAATTACCTCCAACATGATGATTCTGGTATTACAGCAGTATAATTAAGAACAGCATCTGGTTCACAGCCTAAAAATATTTGATAGTATAAACACTCTCAGTTCTTCAAAATAAAATTTAAAAATTAATTTCAAAAGCAGTAATTAAAAAGTGACTTTGAGGGAAGTCATATTACCACTTACAATTAAAATCATGCCTCCAACCTTCCCATACTTTTCAACCTACTGAAAAAATAATAAGTTAAGTCCCTTACAGGCTCTGAAAGACTATAAAGGAAACATGCTGGGAAAATACTGTTAACATCCATCATAAGACCTGAGGAGAAGCGAGAGTTAGTCAAAGGATTGGACACAGGGAATAGGTAAAAAGGGGAGCTGCTTCTGCCTGTGCTGAAATGCTGATGCAGGAGCTTGTTTGTTTTATCTTAAAAATCCTAAAATTTTGGTCTTTCCTCATCCTCCTCCAAACCCCCTCTCTAATTTCCCAACTTCTCCAGATCCCAGTGTCCCATACAGGGGCAGCAGTCTCTCCGACTTCTCCATCCACCAGCTAACATACTCTAAACTCCTCACCTCTATCCTCAGAAGAACAAACAAGCAGCCACATCAAGACTTACATGCTGAAGTGCAAAGTACTTTCCAGTCTCTTCCAAAGATACTCAACAACCAAATTCAGTTTTCTTCAGGTTAGTTGAAAAACTTCCTCCCCAGAAAGAAACTGCTGCAACAGCTTAAACTTGTTCTAGTCAGATCAAAAAAAACCAACAAAACAACAAACCAATAACAAGAACAAAACCACAACATCAGCACCCAACTTACAAAGTGCTGATTTGAGTGGGATCAAGTTTTCCAGCTAATTGCTCACTCCCTGATTTCCAAAGCACAGGCAGCAAGGATGGATTCGCTCACTGACTGTACTCAGTTACAAAACAGCTCATAGGCATCTATTACTGGTTAGCAACATCAGAGAAACTCCAAGTTTTCTGTAGGATCTCCAAGCACCAAAACCTCCTCCTCTTATAGAAGCTGTGCTCTGGCCAGGCTCTGCACTGCACCTGGGTGCGGGCATTCTGCCTGCACTCAGAGCAGGGAACTGACTGCTTCCCCAGATCACATGCAGGAGTTTGTTTTTTTTTTTTCCCCCCCACAGTAAAGGCATAACAGTAAAAAGAGAGGAAACGAAGTACAGAGAGCATGGGAGTGCAAATTTCCTCCTGAAATGCAGCCAAAAAGATGCAGGAAGGGTACATCCCCATGTGGCTTCCTGGCACAGAGCATAGATGTCACCCATACAGCATTTTAACCACCACCGCCTTTATTCTGTCCACAATAAGACCACAATTCTGTCCACAATTTTGTGGTCGCACAAACAAAAGATTTTTTTAATTTCTTTAAATTCAGTCACCATCAAATGACCAAAGCGATACAGATCTAAGGCAAACAGGTACAGAACATGTGACAATTTTGTGACTTTTGGGTGCCTGAAGGATCCCAAAACTTCAAGCTTACCCCAGTTGTTCTTCACATTTTCTATACTCATCTACCACATACACTAACCCAGAAGCTGCAAAAAATAAAGGAAGTGAGGAACTGCCCACATGGAAAAATGATTCAATTTTTAATTCCACTTTTAATTAGTTTGAGGAGCTCCTGTTTAATACTTGTATCTTCTCCCTGTTGCATTTTGTTGTAGACTGCTGCTTCCACAGATTTATATCCCCTTTATAAAGATGATGGCATTTGAAGCTGGACGGAGGAGACGGGAAATACAGGAGAGAAAGACAAGTGCTGCAAATCAGAATAACCTCAATGACTGAACAGCACTGCAGGATACATACATGCCTCTTGTGGTTGCCTCGCAAAAAGGAGCTGGGAATTCCATTTTTACACTCAGAATCACTTTGCTCTTCATAGCTTTCAAACTCACTTGAACTCCATCCATACTCCAGTGAGCTGTTTCCACCATCATCGCCATTTTCAACATCATCATAAATCATTTCCTCTGCAAGAATTAAAACCAAAATAAAAGAAAGCTACACTGAAATACCTGTTTGTCTAAACAACAAAAATCTTGTTCAGGATGTACCATAAAGAACAGTGCAGACTTTCATATGCACACTTTTGCATAATATTAATCCAATTCAATATTAAAAACAGCCAAAGCGAGTGTGTCTGTTGAAATAGTACCAGAACACACAGCCAGTGTTCTTGTTACACACCACAATACCATTGGAAACATGCCCTACTCAAACAATATTACTATGTCCAAATCCCACAACATATTAGAAAGAATTCACAGCTACTACTCAAACTACAATTACATCCTGGCTGAGAAACAACAGTGCAAAGACATCCCTGCCTAGTCCACTAAGGGACTTCCCACTAATAAAAGCATTACCTATAAATGCAACATAATAAATGCAAATTATAAATGAAACAAATTTTAATAATACATTTTGTAAAACATCTTGCCTAGATAGCACTAAGGACAAGAAATGAAAATGTTAAGGTTTTAAAGATAAACATGTACTCTACACAAGAAACTGTTTTGCTGAATCGTTAACACGGTTATAATCAATTTCAGTAACAAATGAATAGCTATGAAAAGCAGATGCCAAATTCCTAAACAAGCAGATTCATTCAAACATAATTTGTTAGTGACAAACAAGCCTTTAGTATAGTCTTCACAATGAAGAAAAACAACACAACAAACCTCAGCAAAAGTTTGTTTTAAGAAGTTTCTTTATCCCTAACTCCAGCTTTCCCAATAAAGGAAAAATCTCGGCTCCACCAACTACTTTAAGATCTTTGCTACTCCTTTCAAATACAGTAAGGAGCTAGAACACTGCAAAGCTGAAAGAAATCCTTTCTGTAGACTCACAGTCAAGATGGTAAACACCTGCCCCACATCTCCCCTGATATTCAGTAAGCTGAATATAGTTTTCCATCAAACAGCAATCTTTATGTGAAAGGAAACTTCCAAGAATAAAGAAATTCCCTGTACAACTGTGATAATGCTGCATTATTATATATCAATAGACTTTTTAAAACACTCTTTCCCTACCCACTCTGCCTTGTTTAGGTTACTACAGCTACAACACCCAACACTGCCATCCTCTAACATAAAATTACAGTCACTCAGGAATTTTGAGGTGTATCTATAAAATAAAACAGAATTCACTGCCTGGACATAGAGGAGTACGAGACATGCTGAGATAGATGTCAAAAGTCAGCTTTAATTTTCAACACTGTAAGATCTACTGATGATTGTTAGGGCTAATCCTGCTTACATAGAACTTAGTTAATGCATCTGTTCAGTATACATACACATAAGTTGCATTACATTGATTTTAACTTAAAATAACATCTATACAGTCCATATCACAAAGCCTTCAAACCTGGTTCAGAGTCCGAATTTTCTCTTGGCACGTCATCGTAAATTACTTCATCTGGGTCTGAAAGCAAATCAAAACAAGCAAGAAGGAATGAGAACACCCTTAAAATCCAAGTGGGACCACGAAAGAATTTTGGCTGTACTGGTAGATTCTGAAAGAGATTGTCCAGAGGAGTTGTGGACTGTCACTCCCTGAAAGAGTTTGATGATGTGATAGAAGGTGTTCCTGCCCATAGCAGGAGGGTTGGAACTAGATGATTCTTTAAAGGTCCCTTCCAACACAAGATATTACATAATTCTATAATACAGAGGAGATGCAATTCATTTTTCCTCAGCATTTCACTAGTACATCTAATAATGGTTATTCAAATAACGCAATAATACATAGGAACTGTAATTACATGGTATGTGTGACATTTCAAGTGCTTTTATCTGCATTGTTTATTATGACCTTCAGTAGCCTGAAAACAGAAATCTGCTTCCACAGCTAGCTCTCTCCTTTTCACATCATAGTACTTATAAAGTGCTGCTCAACGCCTTACCAGTTAGCTTTAAGAAGCTGCAACTGACATTTTCAGAAAAAGAATCAAAACCGTAAGTGACACAATGATTAACCTAGAAAGTCAAGAGGTAGGACAGAGGGTTGGAGATTCAGGATCTTTGGGGTCCCTTCCAACCCTGGTCATTCTATGATTCCGTGACAGAAATGCAAATTCTTCAACTGTTTCAAGTGATATTAAGATGAACCTCCAGCCCAGTGGGATCCCTCACATTGTTGTATCTGAGAACAGTCAGGAAAACCCATCAGCAAGCAAACCATATTGTCTATGTTCTGCTTTTAGATAGATGCATTTGGACTTGATGACCTTGCAGTTGGACTTCCTGATCTTTAAGGTCTTTTCCAACCTGAGCAATTCTATGATTCTATTAACAAATTATGCCTATTCCTTCCCTTCCATCTTCTCTAAGAACTTGTTTGTCAGTTACTGTAGGAGTGCAATTGCATACACAGTCACAGAGAACATCGTGAACTTAAGCAAATTTCCACCATATACATGAGAGCCAAATGTCCTTTAGACAGTGATTAATTATTCTGTAGACTCCAAAAAGGAATGGAAAAGTGAACATTCACTTTAACTTTGCTTTATAACACATAATTTTATTACACTACTGGATATTTTAACTGGGTACAGTTGGACTCCAGAATACTCCTGAAAAAAAACAAGTGAACATGGACACTCCTGTAACATACAGTGTACATTACATACACTGTTTATCACAACTTAAAACTGACCTTCTTCTACGGCTGTATTCTGAGCTCACTGATACTTACTTTCCATCCACGCTGTATTTGCAGGATCTGCAACCCACTTGGCCAGAGCATCATCTTCTCTTTTGTCCTGGTTATCTTCACTTTAGGGGGAAAAAAAAAAAAAAAAAAAAAAAAAAAAGGCATAAAATAAAAGCACTAAAATCTACACAGCAATACATTTAAACATCCACAAAAACAAGTCAATAAGTAAAAACATCTCACTGTTTTCCAGCTCTCACTTTGAGGCAGATGATTACTTAAAAACCCTGCTTCAGCATGTAATTAGGATTTTAATAATGTAATCCATTGAATAGTCTGACGACTTCAGTCAATAAATTGAAAACACTTCCCTTCCAACCTCAAGAAATATTTATTTCTAGATTATTTTTTACCAGAAGACAAAACTCTCTCTTTGAAAATGTTTTCACTATAAATAAAAATAAAGACATTCAAGGCTACAGCAACAGGTGCACAGCCTCTTTAATGGTCTGGGGGAGGCTATTTTCCTTCTCTAGCTGCCACGGGTGGGGCTCAATCTGCAGTAACCCATCCAGGTTTAGCTCCCCAAAATTGCTCTTCTAGAGAGAGGTGCAGAAATTGGAGTTTAGCCAAGGGCTACTGAGATTGTTAGGGACATGGTAGGCACACAGCCTACAAGCAAAAGGTTGAATACAGGGAACTTATTTAGACTGATAAGAGTGATCCAATAACAGCTATAACGAACTGAAAGAGAGCTACAGAAGTGATGGAATTCCATCAGCCACAGCTGGTCTGACTGCATGTTGGCAGTGGTCCTGCTGTAGCTGATGACTCTATAAAAATTGTTTTTTTTTCCTCTCAAAATGTCATGGACAGTTATATACACTAGACCTTAATCTGTGCAGATTTTGGTACACAAGCAAAGTTAAGGACTCAAAATAATAACAAAACTTGAAAGCTCCAGACATGGAAAATGAAAAACGAAGTTTTTGATTTATTGAATCCAAGGTTTCTCAGGAATTAAAGTTTTATAGATCATTTAAACATATTGAGTTTAGATCATCAAAACATATTGAGTTGTCAATCACCTATTTTGGGGCTCCTCTGAGTTTAAAGAATTACATTGACATTCTTCAGTTGCTGATTGCATACCTGCTAAATAGAAAAAAACACATACAATCATCAAAATGTTTAGAATAAAATGTTAGTCTGGTTCAAATGGCATAAATTAAAGAAACTGTTGTTTTGCTTTTTTTTTAAAATATTGCTAATGAATAATCTATGCAGCATTTTTATTCTTGATCATAGCTAAAAAAGTTGTGCTTCTTCATATCTATTTTCTATCATGTCTATTTTCACAACTCAGATAATTCACAGGGACAGAGCAATTTGTTGTAAGAGTTATCAGAGAAAATTACAGTGCCTGACACATTTAATTCTTCTCTCTCAAACATATATTCCTCAACAGGCAATATCAACCACAAACATAAGAATATATTTGCATAAATTCTCTGATATACCTAATATGCAAAAAAAGTGTCATAGCACACAGAATTACAGTAGGATTGCAACCTAGCTAAAGAAAAATATATTTGAAATAATAAAAAAAAAATTAACAGGATATGGAAAGCTTTCTGTTCCTCCTGCTTTCTTAGCATTGAGCTGTCAACTTTGCCAATTCTGTTTACAAAATAGGGGGATTGTTCCCGTTTCTGTAATAATCCATAGTTATTTCCTCTTCTGTCTCAGTATCGTATTAAAGGACAAGCAGAGTTCACCAAATCATCAAGAAAAAAATCTCACAGCAAATCGAAATCCACAAGGTCTAGAAAAACAAATAAAAAGAAGTGGATACAGAAAAGGTAAAAGAGACAGGAATTCTGATAGAAGCCAGTTCAAGTATTCTAAGGGTTTGAGGAGAAATCATTTGGCTTGAATACATAATCATGACTCTGGAAATTATTCTGTGACATTAGAAGGGAATTAGCATTAATCATTTTTAATGGTAAGAGAAAACAGGAGTCCTGACTTGTGCTTTATGCTGCAATATTGTGCCAGCAAAAACAAAGGCCAAATATCACAGATGTAAAATGTTGGGATATAACTGACTTAGTGTTTATACATTTTTTCCTTATGCATCTTAGCTTAGCTATCTCGATCCTAATGAGGAAAGCAGAGTTTTATTAGAATACTTTTTCTTTTTTTTCTTTTTCTGTTGTTACTCACAATTTGTGTGTGCTTTTCAAACAAGCTGACACTTATTGACTAAGTCCAGCTAAAACTTACCTCCTACTCCATGATGAAATTATTCTTCTATTTTGACACAAAATCTCCTAGACATCAAGTCTGAATGCTACGTAAGCATTTACAAAACAACACAACTATCTCACATTAAACAAGAATCCCCCCCTTCAAAGAAAGTAAGTTGCAAAAGCACCTTACCTTCCTCATCTACAGAAACGCTACGTATTATGACAGGACTGGAGTATGCTGGCAGTATCAGAGGTAAATTGGATGGCACTGCATAGCCACAGGGCACAGGGACAGAATATCCACTGGACGTGTTTGGACTGGCAGGTTCATCCTGAGGACTTGGATCTGGTGAGGAGGATGGATCCTTTTCTTGCATTGGGGAAATATTTATGACTGAGTAGGGATTTACTTTCCTTGGAGTATCTTCTGCAATAGGTTCTGATGCTTGTAGCTTCTCACTTTTTTCTAAGCTATCAGCTCCTTTAGCTGAAAAATTAAACAAAGTTTTATTTTTTGTGTCTGTCCAAGATGCTTGTATTGGTATTTAAAATATCCCAAACATTTATATGACTTTATATACAACTTATAATCTGTGACTCAAAATTTCCACATTGTGGTGCTCTCCTCCCCATTTTACAGATACGGAATGCAACAGCAGCAAAACAACTATGTCACAAGGATGGAAAAACCACACTATGGAAAAACAATAAATTGATCCTAAATACTAGACAAGGAGATTTCTGACAGGTTATCAGGATACCTTCTTGCTTCCCATAAAAACATGCCTGCAAACAGCCTTAAGATCTGAAATCTGAAGTCAGTTTCTAGTGGAATTTGTATCCTATATATACAAATATAATAAACATTTTAGAAATAGCCATGAGCAAAAAAATGCTCACTGGAAGGACACTCTACAGGGACTTGAAAATGCTCTGCTAAGAAAAAGGAAAAGAAAATGACTTTCCAAGTTTCCCTCCTTGAAAATAAACTCTCTTCTTTCTGGTATCTTTAGAGAACTAAAATGTAGTGGAACTAAAGGCCATTTTGAAGCAAACTACAGAACTGGATCCCAAGTGATCAGAAGTTTTTGAGCTGGAAGCGTGACCTTGCAAGTGAGTAACAGTTTGTCAGTGAAAGGCTGTATTTAAATTCCAGGTTGTCAAACTGCACGGTCAACTGATCAGTTATTTACCTCTCATTGCCATGACCACAGTGTCTGTTGACAAAAGAAAACTGGATCAAAGTCAGCAAAATCAGCTGTTGTCAATTTGAACAGAATACAGTAATTTCCAGAACATACCTCAGGATTGAAAACATCTGCAAGTGTTGTAAAAAGAAATGTTTTAATCTTCAATAAAATAAGACTTCTGTTATGAACAGAATTCTGACACTCTGACTCCATTTTTTAATGCATATCAGCTTAAGATCAGCAACCAGAAAGCTTAGCTGTGAAAGCAGCTAATCTGGAACTATTACAGTTGCAAAGGCAAAGTTTTATTGTAGCATGGCAGTATGACTGAGACCAATACACTGCTTTTTACTGAACATGGATGGGAAAACTCACGGGAACTGCACTTGCTCATTGTTTGCCTTATCAACTCACCAGAAGCATAGCTAGCACAAATAATCAAAACACATGCACAGCTGTTCCACAGATCTCTCTTCACATCATAGAATTGTATCACAGGTTGGGTTGGAAAGAACTGTAAAAATCATCTTGTTCCAATTCCACTGTCATGGGCAGCCACTAAATCAGGCAGCCCATCCAAACTGGTCTTGGGCACCTCCAGGAATGGTCATCCACAGCTTCTATGGGCAACCTGTTCTAGTGCCTCACCACCCTCTGAGTAAACATTTAACCTAAATCTCTCCCCTTTTAGCTTAAAACCATTCCCACTTGTCTTATCACTATCTGCCTGCATAAAAGTCTCCCTCCTGCTCACAAGCTCCCCTTAAGTACTGGGTAGCCACAGTGAAATCTCTCCAAAGCCTTCTCTTCTCCAAGCTAAACAAGCCCAGCTCCCACAACCTTTCTTCACAAGACAGCCCTTTGATCATCTTTGTGCCCCAGCTCTGGACCCACTACAACAGTTCCCCATTGTTCTTGTACTGGGGGCCCCAGGCCTGGATTCCAGGTGGGTCCTCACAAGGGCAGAGTAAAGAAACAATTACTTCCCTTGCCCTGCTGGTCACCTCCCTTTTGATGCAGTCAAGGATACTGTTGGTGTTGCAGGCTGCAAAAGACCTGCTGGCTTGTGTCCAGCTTTTCATCCAACAAAATTCCCAAGTCCTTCTCCGCAGGGCTGCTCCCAGTGTGTTCTTCTTCCAGTCTGTAGACATAACCTGGGTCTGCACTGATCCAAGTGCAACACACTGCCCTTGGCCTTGCTGAATTTCACTAGGTTCACATGGGCCCACTTCTCAATCCTCTCCAGGACCCTCTGGATGGCATCCCTTCTACAGTGTCAGCTGCACCACTCTTCTTGGTGTCATCTGAAAACTTGCTGAGGGTACACTCAATCTCATTGTCTACATCACTGATAAAGAGGCTGAAGAGCTCCAGTTCCAAGATGGACCCCTGGTGGACATCACTCATCAGCCTCCACCTGGACACTGAGCTGTTTACAACAACCCTCTGGCAGTGACCACCCAACTCTTTACCCACCACCACCTTTAAACTCAATTCAAAGATAAGGATGCAGTATAGGACCACATCAAAGGCCTTGCACAAGTCCAGGTAGATTTTTTACCTGTTTCTTTAATTCTATGATCAATCTCGACTCAGCCTAACGGAGAAAGAACCCATCAGGCTGACTCACCTGTGACATTAGCCTCTTGGTGCTCTGTGTTACTTCCAGGATCAGGAGGAGGTGGCACGAAGGCTTGTCTGTCTGCTTCCGGTATCTCATCCCCACTGTCAAAGTCAAACTGCTCTCCCTCATCCTCCTCTTCATCATTTGTACCCACAGCTTTGGGTTCATGCTCTAGAACTGTGCAAAAAGACAGTCTTTAATTTAAACTGTTTTTACTCTTATTAATGACTTCACATGACCAGCAGGTGCTGTATGCTATGAATGGAACTCAGACAGCAATGCCTTAGAATGTTGAGTCACTGGAACAAAACAAAGTTCTTGACATACTGATAACCTCATTGCTTTTCAACAAATCCTCTAGTATAAACAACAAAATTACTAAGAAAGCAATAGAAAATATACACAGTTGTACAGGGACATCTGGACACCAAGTCATTTTTCCTTTCTATTTCAAACTTCTAAAGCAGAATGCCAGCATCCCCAATTTTCTTCTTGCACATCATTGAAGAATACAGAATGTTGTTCCTAACCCACTGTGGGACAACACATTACATAAGACTGTTGGTTTAAACCTGTTAACCTCTCATTTCAGTCATCAAAGTGCATTTTGCTGAAGGAAGAGTTGACATTTCAGCTTTCACCTTTGAAAATGGTAATGACTGAAACCATTACCATCCTAATATGGCTAGGACAAGGGAGTGTTGGAAGTATTTTTGTCTTTTCTTAGGAATATCCTGCAGGACAGACTTGCCACTCCATCCAAGTGTAGATAGTGGGAAGAAAAGCTGAATAATAGCTTGGTGCTATTGTTCCTATCTGCACGAGCATGGAGAAACCATGAGGATATGAAAACTTGCCCTGCATTATCTACTGCTATTTTTAATGTGTGCTTGTATCACAGGAAACCTGCATACACCCAAAACTCATGCTGAAGATCCCGTGCAGCTACAAGGAGAGAAGATAAAACTTCCCAGGCCTCTCTGTGTTCCAACATAAGGGCCTCATCCCCTGCCTAGACCTGCTGTAGCTGCTTTTCTATCACTTGGAGGGAAAACTCTTTATCGGAAGTCTCCATTCAGAAACATCATCTGTGGAAAATCTTTGGCTCAGCTGACCTTTCCACCAAGCTCCTCCTCAAAACCACTCTTATACAGGAGTTCAGCCCTGTATCAAAAATGTTATAACACATAACTACAGAATAAAAATAAATATTTAACTACGAAAATACACAAATACTTTATAAACATATAAACAAAGTTTGTAGGTTTCTCTCCCTCCTTCAGGTAACACACTATTAAAAAAGTCTTGTGAAGGTGCTTGGATCTCCTGAATCAGGATGATATTATCAGCTCTTCTAGCATCCAGGACTCGTTTTATATATTTACAATAAAACCCACGCAATCTGCAACTCTAGGCTGCTTAGATTGTCATGGTAATCAGCATTCTTGCCAAGGCTTCTGTTTCTTCAGGCAGGCTGAGCCAGCATATTTTATCACAGCAACAAATAACAAGATCTTTCATGCAGTTTCTCTGTAGGACAGAAAGTGAACTAATTGCAAAAATATTAAGGAACAAGAAAGGGGTTATCCTGCATTTATTGTCACAGTTTATGGCTGAGGCAGCAGGACACTTAATTTAATTATGATGCTTTTTAAAATTCTTTTCTACCAAGTCAGCCTTTAGATTAAGGCTTTTCATATTTGCCTTTGTCCATTAAGATATTTTTTTCTGAGATGAAAAAATTCTACAGATCTCTTCCAAGTGACCCAAAACAACCACAGAACTCCTTCTGATTCAGCATCCACCCAACTTGACTTTGTGCTGCTTGCTGCTCAACAGTCAGAGGAAAAATGAAGGGAAGAGGTTTTGTTGCTGTTGTCTTGGTTTCAATATATCTCTACAATTCGAACTTACTAAGATAGGGGTTTCCAAGCAGAATGTTTTGGCTTTTTTCTTTTTAATGACCAACATTTGAAGTATTGGTTAGTCATCCAGACTAGACAGATAAGTAAGCAGATGCAAGAAAATAACAGAATACCACAACTTTTAGCTGCATACACTGCCACCTGCCATTCCTCATGCTGAACTACAGAAGTGACGATCAGCAGCAAGCACTACAAGCACATAAGAGAGCTCTTCTTTATTTTGTATACTGGGAAGAGGAAGATAGGGTTACTGGAATTAGCTGAATGTCCTCTAATCATTTGTACAGGATTTGGCCACTGTGGAAACTTGGGCGTTGCTTGAGGAGGTCTTGAGTAAGAACACTGAATCTACCTGCTCACTGGAGGTCAGTTCTAGAAATCAGCAAAATAGCATAGATTTAAGAAATATCCATATCAGACAAGCAGACATCTAGGAAGCAACATGAAGTTTTATGACTGCCAGTTACAATGCCTGCTGGACCCATTATTTTCCTTAGGGCATATAAAGGTAACTTAGGTATCAGGTGCCTGGCAATTCTCTACTCCAGCACTTTCACACCGATGCAATTCCCCAGGCACACAATTCTAGCACAGTGTCATTTGTCAGAGAGAGACAAGAACTGCCATCAGCAAAAAAGGTAATTTGAGACACTAAAAGCAAAAGCAATGACTCAGGACCCAGGAGCAAATACTGGTCAACTAATGGGCAACTTCCCTTCAACCTTTCTATCCATCTCCCATAAAAACCAAATAACTCACAGTTTATGTGGAAGAAAGGAAATATAACCTAAGAATCAAGTATACCTCAACTCAGATAAAAAAAAACTATCAAATTACTATCAAATACTTGTTCATGAACACACTTCTTTTAAGGTTTTAAAAGTGCCTTGAGAGATTGAAAGACAACTCCTATATAATTAGGAGTGCAGTCATAGTAACACTTATCTGTATTTAAAAGAAAAGGTAATAACTTACAAAGCAAAACAAACAGGCATAACAACTCGAGTGCATCTTGATGCATTCCAGATATCCTCTTTAACCCTCATATAAAACTAATGATATGTTCACTTTTTCAGATACTTATTTCTTAAGAGTCTGCTCAGATACAACACACAAACCACTCCCAAAGCTAAGTGGGCTGTAGGGCTGTTCAGTTTTTATTTCAGGTGAAGTTTTGTAACAGGACCTTGACATTTGTCTGCCCTGAGAAATGCTAGGAACAGCCTTAATTGCTCTTGTAAAAATTTTCAATTTGGCCAACTTGTAAATCTTTCAAAAGCTGCAGATGATTCATATTCAGCTGAAAGTTTTAAAGGGCGTTAACAGATTATCACTGGATAATCTTACAGCTTTTCAGCACAAATTAGACTCCACTCCTACAGCTAGCAAGCAACAAAATATTTTCTACCCATTCACATCTTTCAGGTGTGACTGCGATTTCTTCAGTATCAGAAAAGAAAACTGAACTCAAGTATTTTTTTGCTCTGATATTTAGTTTGTGTCTCTTGTCTGTGTTAGTCCACTTAGCACCCACATAGGGAGAAAGGTACAGAAGTAAGTCAGACAGTTCGTGCATGATGTGCAGAACAGATGGACAGGGAAGGACAGAAAGAAGAAAGCTGATATAAGGAGAGCTTATTGCATGGCTGAGGAGGACAAGTGCCTGGGAACCCCTTGGCAGGAAAGAAGGAGCCTGGAGAGCAAGAACAGGGCTGAGACCAGCTGAGGGAGAGAAGACTCAAGACCAGAAACACCACTGCCAACAGCTGCTTTAAAGTAATAGGCTTTAACTCCTTAATTGCGTATTTCCACAGGCTAGTATCGTCCAAGGAACTTTCACACTCGGATCTTCTGTTTTCCATTAGTAAATATCCTTATGTCCCTTAGAGCATGCATGTGTAATTTTTTTCCAGGATATTCATAAGCACAGATCTCCGTATTCCTCAAGGCCCGTACAGTCACATCCAACTGCTAAGGACAAAGCCAGGCTGCAGAAACACTCATGGAACATTTTTACGCACCGGCATCTTTGACAAGACATGAACACCCAGGAGCTACTTCACCATGTGAGGACTTCGGGGGGAAGTTCTTTACATGCTGCCCAGCGAGGCTGTCAATGCTCCATCACTGGAGGTGTTCAAGGCCAGGTTGGATGGGGCCCTGGGCGACCTGGTCTAGTATTAAATATGGAGGTTGACAGGCCTGCCTGTGGCAGGGGGGGTTGGAGATTTATGACCCCTGAGGTTCCTTCCAGCACTGAACCCCCAGAAAGTGAGGCAGTGCGTGGCCTCTTCCCACATCTCCTCCAGGCTCCAGCTCTTCCATCAATGTGGGCAGGAGTAGCTCTGAAGCCTGTCCTGGCTCCTGTCAGGGTGCCGGGAGTTGCAAGACAGCCTCAGTGCCTCCAAGCCACGGCCAGACCTCCAAGTGACACAGAGTCAGGCCTGACAGTGCCAATGGAAAGCCTTTCTCCACAGCAGGAACAAGTGCCTCTGCAGTGCTCCTCACACTTTTCCAGCACGCCACCAGTACCCATAAATTATCTCCTTGTACAGTCACACAGATGGAAAGTGTCTGCTTTGCTGGAAAAAAAAAAAAGTCTAAACCAAAACAGTGTATTCAAAACCACGTGCAGGCTCTCTTCCATTTCCTTCCCTGGAAAGCAGATGAGAGCCATAGGCTATCATTCCCCAGTCACGTGCAGTTGTGCTAAGCTGGCATTATAGGAAACAGAGGTCCCAGGGGCATGAGCACGTTGCTAATTACTCAAAGCTCTTCAACATGTCCAAAGTATGACCACAATGTGAGCAATAAAGGTCTCTACGGAGAGTAATCACAAAAAAACAACAACAAACAAAATAGCACATATGCATTCAAGGAGTATTTCCAGTGATGGAAACAAAAGCACAACCACACCAATTAACAGGCTCTTTCTCCAAATAAACAACAAATAAACCTCCTCTCTCGTATGTCATAAATGCACGTATTACATACTGATACTGTTGTGCAACCATGCGCAACGGACATCACTCTTCTGGACAGAAAGCAAACTCCAAACTGAAGTCAAATAAATGACGAATCTGCCTGTTCAAGTCTAAGAAAACGAATGCAGCAAAAAGACAACAGGAAAGATTTTCAAGCACCTTACACACTTACCTTACACAAGTCTTGTACACTGCTCACTGTGTTAAAAATTAAGCTTTAAGTTAGCTAACAACTCAAAGCATCATCCAACAGGCTAAAACAAAAATG